CGAGTACCCTACCGATACTATGCTCGGGCTGCGGAGGAGGAGGGGGTGGGCTACTTGAGCAGGAGTATCATGCATCGGGATTTGCGATTTCTACCCCTCTAATACCGCCTTCGCCTATCTCCAATCTACCATCTAGGCCTTCAAGTAAGATCGACCGGGATTGGCAGCGAAGCGAGAGGTGGAGTGGAGACTCTCATGTCCGGGGTCGAGTGAAGATGTCGCGGGGAAGATAAGCACCAAAATTCGTGCGATAAAGAGATTTGAGGCTGTAATTTAGGGCACTTGAGCACTGCGACAATCTTTCCTCCTTGCGAATTAGGAGTATGAAATCCCTGTTTGTGCATATGATCAAATACATAAAAAAAGTACCGGTATATGATTGGTTAAATATCATACTTGTACTTGTATAACTGAGCAAGGAAAAACAGCAATCGCCCCACACATAATTTCACGATGTTGGCATAAGCCATAGGCGGGCCAAGCCTAAGCCAAGAGTCGGCTAGGCTTCGTGAGAACAAAGAGGCCTGCTTAACCCCCTTCGTGATAAATGCCTTGCTCCGAAAATGATACGTAAAAAACAAAAAACCAATAAGAAGGCACGCTGGTGCTTTACCTTGATATTGTTCGCCCAGTGCGGGGCTAGTGCGGGGTAAAATCGCACGCAGAGTCGAGCTCTGTCGTGTGGTTGCCGGTGGTTTAATGCTTTCCGTGATTTTGGTTAGACCAGAGCTTCCAAAGAACATGGACATGTCATAAATGGCCGTGTCCTTGGTGTCATGCTATGCTCGAGGGCTAGAATTATTGCCGAGCACTCGAAGAATCGATCCTCGCTCTAGGACATTGGAGTTGCCTTTGCTGGTAAGGTGTGGTCAGTTTTCGCAGTCTTTTCACCCCCCCCCCGCATCCAGGAGCGGAATTTTGGACGTCTTAGCACGAGGTTCAATCGTTCGAGTTCTTACGGCACTGAAAACTTATATATAATACCGCATGTGATATATGGTGTCTTGGAACGCAAACTAGCAATAGCGGGCCTGGGGGGGGATTGTGCTACACGAGTACTCAAGTGCAAGTGTCTCTCGATTAATAGTGTATTCAAGTACTGTACTAGCAATTGGGAACGGGAACATGGCCTATTCAAAGGCATCCTTCGCCGTACGTTCCGAGATGATCCTCTGTGCAACCCCAATCAGGCACCAGAACCCGAAAAATCCGCGTCTTAAAGGGTTTTTGACAGGTAAATCATGCGCTGGGCAGGACTATCATATTCGTATATCATAAAAAATGTGCGAAGGAGACAGATGTTCTAGGTGACGGGTCACGGTTCCGGCATTCTGCCGCACTGCTGTAGCCGCAATTGATGCCGGCACTTGCCTGCCGACACCGAGATAGGTACTCGAGTACCGACACAAGTACGGTAGTGTCCGTCGAGCCGTGTCTGTTGAGAGATACCGGTACGGCAATGCATGCCTGTTTCAAGTCTTCCAGTGCAGAGGGAACAAAAGAAGTGATACGGCCGTGAACCTCTGTGGAACCATGCTGGGAGGAGAGGTGGTTCATACGGTACTTATTGGGCGTTAAGGATCCCATCTGGTGCTAGAATAGGTGGAGCCTATCAAAGCACACCACCCTGCAGGGATACTTGAAAAAATTAGTAAGCTAATTCCCTCTTCCTGCTCGCGGATTAGCAGTACTCGAGTAGGTACTCGAGTACCGATAGTTGCGCCTACCGGTAGGTTGTTGCCGCGATAAATTTGTTCTTTCTCCTTTTACCTTGAAGGGGGCTTTTGTTGCTTGACTCGGTGTGCTTCGAGTAGTCAGTATTACCGTTATTGCTTTAACCAGGCGACTTGGATGTGATTCAGCCCAAGCATAGCATGTGATAAGACTTCAGGCCTGTTTGATATTTCGCTCAGGCAACAGTACTGTGCCCAACATTCGCCTGAAGCCAGCTGACGATACCTAGATTTTGGTCCATCGGGCCCGAAGTCTGATTTTTTCGGCCACGGTTTAACTATGATTGTCCGCTTACTTGTCCCTACTGTGTCTGCCTGGTAGGACTCCACGCTTGGGACTCCCGATTTTCGTTGGTGGTCCTAACGACTGAATTCACGACTTGGAGTCGTTGGTCACTACAAGAGATATATTTATGTCGGAGGTGTGGTTAGAATAAGGTTTATACGCTAGTCCTGCGCTGGTTCCATGCATTTGTTGGTTTTTTTGGTGAGCCATGATACCATATTGTTGAGTCACGTATTGACTTACACTGTAGTGACCGGGTCGATTCCTTGTGTAGGACTCTGGGTGCGAAACCAATTTATTGGGTCGATACGACGACTATCACCGAATCGTTTTAGGCCGCATTTATCTCAAGATACCCACCATACTCATTCAATTCAATCGTGACTAACCTATTGATTCAAATGTAGCTTCCGCGGACGCTGGAGCCCCTGCGTTTAGTCTGATATGCGCATCTGAGTCGATAAGAGTATTCTAGACTCTTTGGGGGGGGGGGTTACAGCGCTTTTAGACTCCCCACCTCTCTTGGGGCTAGTATCTGGATTTCAGGCATTCGAACCCTACTTTTTTTTTTGGGGGGGGGAGGGAGAAACCATCGTGTTTTATCATTTCCGAATACTGATGTCAGTACGCCATACGGTCTAGATGGCCCGCAAGGGCTGGGGAAGACGGGGCTGGGTTCCTGATTAGGCGACCGTATTTACAGAGTCCACCATTTTGATATATACTCGAGTAGAGGCAACTGTTGCGAATGGCCTTTCTTAGGGACATTCGGGTCTAGGGACACATCGGACGCGGGGCAGCATGCCTTGCGGTAAATGGAGGACTCGATATATCATACCACCACCTCTTGTCCCCGAGCCGGATTTTAGGCCTCCGCGGCGAAGAGACCAGCTAAAATCGGCAGGTCAAGCCTTGAAAGCCTTACGCTGGTTTTGATCGCCGCTAGGCAATATAATGATCCTTAATAGTGATTTGCGTTCTCAATAAATTACGCATCTCCGTGCTATCTTCAGTAGTGGGGGGTGGGATATGAAATTTCCCTCTCATGAGCACGACTCCCCGAAAATCCGTGTTCTATCTAAGGCTGTGGCAAGCCCCAGTGAATGTTTCCTCGGGCCTATTGAGAGAAGGGCAAGCCTGTGAATAAGGGGTATTGTTCAAGCCAATAGAGTTTACGCCCGAAGGAGAGCTGGCACCAGTCTTGAACCTGCCTAGCTAAGATGGGTCCTATATCCGAGGAAAGTATTCCGTCGACAGTTCAAGCAGACCCAGAGGGTTTAGACACTGCCTAAGATTTGTGCCTAAATTTGTGTCTAAATCTTATGATAATACCGATGGCAACGCCTCCAATAATTCACGGTCACGTGCCGTGTCTCATGCAATTCAAAGTTCCAACTGATGTAACTGTATTAGAGGTTGCATGTAGGTATCCATGTATAATCTTTCCAGGTTTGAGTTCGGGTCCAAATTTTTGGGATGATGGAAGGGGCAAAGGGGGGGGAGGATGTGTGTTACCCGTCTCTTGATACAAACCATAGCGTCTCTAATGCATCGACGCCGGAGAAAGGACAGAACCGACCTCTGAAACGCAGAACGTTACTCGGGACGAACCGAAGGCGGCGATGTCAACAGTACTGTACTCGTACATTTCATTCCGCACGATATCCAGCTTTCGTCGGAATACAGGTGCTTAGTTCATGAGCTTGTAGATGGCAATTGTGCACAGTTCGGTATTTGTATTTTGTAGTCCCGGCCCACAACACCACAGCTTGAACCATGTTTGATGTTGGTACTCTCCACCATCAGGAAAGCACTGGATGGTGTCACGTATTCGACGTAGGGGGTGTTTGCACGGCAATGGCAAGGCTTTGAGCCTGCCTGCCGCTGGGGCAGTGGAGGTGCGAGTAATGTCCCGCACGATTGCTGCTGTTACCAGACTTTCGAATACGGTAATCTTCCACCAATTCCACTCTCGATAATTATTTCGCTTGCCACATATGGCTAACTTGGTTTCGCTGCAATACGGCAGCATCTACCCTTAGTATAACCCGACACCAATACTGGTGGTTCTCTCTGGAACGAGATTCTATTTTTTTTGCTTGCTTGTTTTTTTGCTGGAAAGAGTAACTCATGGTTTGATATCAGCCTTGACATGCACCCCACCCATCACACAACTTGGTGGGATAAGCCAATGTCCTGCTCTCCTTTAATGAGGGTATCATCATACCCCATCACAAAGCTATATTGCAAGGCTCGAGTGCTGCATAGAAGAGTCGGATATCATACCAAATGATAGCACGAATACGGTATCATGCTATGGTTGAACCTTGCTATTGACCAAAAGTCCCTAAACAGGTACACCGCGGAAACCTAGCTATGGTACCGCAAAGATATGATAGTGAATTGACAGTGGGGCAAATGCCCAAACCGGAGGCGCTAGGCCGCTTCTCCCACCGAATGACTGAGGTCTCGGGCGACCCCCTGCGACACACACACACACGGGAAGAGATTGTGGGTTAGGGCGGAAATGATGTTGAAAGGGTCTTGAGAAGAGTTAGGTAGGAAATTTGGGAAGAACAAAATTAAAAAAACTTTGAAAGAAACACAATTCTATCATTTTTATACGACCCACAGTATCGATCGATGTACGAGTACTGTACTTGTATTATGTTTGGTTGCTGTCATGGCAGGCTCTAGACTACTATGCAGTGGGGCACGCACTGTTTGTGCAGTAAGTTTGTGCTCGGCTACCATATTATTGTTGGATGACCACGACTGTGTGGGGGGGGGGTTGCCCCAACTGTACGAGTATCATACTCGTACTGCTTGTATATTACCATAAGCGAGAATGCTTGGATGCTTGGGGTTTCGCCACTAGCGTATTTCCTGGCACATAAGAGGAGGGTTACCGGTACTCGAGTACTTCGCACTCACCTTCGCACCCCCCCTTCATACTTGGACTGCGCACAATGGTACGAGGAGTGAATTTCACCGCCAAAAGAGGGCAGCTTCCTCCCCCCAAGTCTGCACACAACACGACGACGCCTTGGCTTCCCAGTACACCAGAAATCAAGGCAGCAAAACCTCGCTGATTGGATCTTTGAGAACATACTTCCCGGAGCCTCAAGGGACGATTCATTATATTTTCACAGCTCTCCCCGTAGACCGGAATATCGCTGCCATCCTCCTTCGCACTGCACCGGTACTCAAGATTGGGTCGTATTCTATTACGGCTTAACTCGGGACTCATCCAACACCTGTTATCTATCCTACACCCCTCAACACCACTATTTCTTCCAGCTGTGAAAGTTCCATCCTTGGTCCGTCCGCACCCCTCTGTCAACATCACGAACTTTTACGCCTCTTTCTCCACTTCTAATATTCCAAATATTGTTTAAAGAAAGTTTTTATTTTTAGTAAAATCCTTCGTTCGGTATGGGGGGCGCCGGTCATGGGAACACTGGCCATCAGGCCATCGATATTGAATCTAGGTTTATCGAAAGCATGCGGAGGCAGAGTAAAGACTCGTACGAGTGCAACTTCTGTCCTGTCGTGGCTAATGTGGAGCGGGGTCTGTGGAATCACATAACAACCCATCACCCGGAGGAGTGTCCTCAGGATGAGCTTGAACTCCAGCGTTTTCGGACACATATGAAAGAAATATGCCAAAGAAAAGGGTGCGTACAATGCAGTTCCTTCTCTGAGAGGGGTCGCGCGAGCGGGTTCGCATCGACAAGCAGATCCAGCCAATCTGATTGGTTTGGGGTTTCTTCCCTACCCCCCCTCCCCCAATGCCCTTTTTTTTTGTCGTCCCCTATTGCTATATTTACACTGTAGATATACTAATTCATATTTAGAGCGGATGTGCCATCACGTCCTGAAAATATACAAACACATAATTCAAATACGTTCATCCGATGGAGTTCTAAAGATGCTGCTTCTTCGAAAGACCCCGGTGGACAAAGAATGGGTCGTAAAATGGAGCCTGGAGATCAAACTAGCTCGTCGGCATATCCTGGGGGTAACGTTGATGATATTGCGAATGGGACTTCGCATATAACCTTGGGACACCAAGATATTCAAATGCTCGATGCTTCTTCCCAGGCTCGGATGGTAAATAGAAAGAGGAACGGCCCCGATTCGGCTCCGGATGGCGGCCCACCAACACCTACCCATACTACACCCCGTGAAAGCCAACCAAAGCGCACAAGGGCCGGGGGTAGGGGAACTTTAGGTAGGTCCAGAATTTCCTAATTATTTGCTTTACGCTGACGTTTCGTTAGGGAGGGCCTCACAAAAATTACCGAGGATGCCTCTAGATCCTGATTTTGATCGATCACGATTCAAGACGGAGCAGTATGGAGATAACGAGGGGGGAGTGGCTACTAGAGCAACCGCATCCCGCCGTCTTTTCGACCCGGAGAAGGATAATCCTGGTGTCTTTAAGGGTGAAGAGGACTCTAAGCGACTTGAAGAGACAAATCCGCCTCCACGGCCTCTTCCTCGACCAAGAGGGGGCGCCCGGAGGAAGGGACCACCCCTCTATCCCTCGTCCCAACCAAGGAAGATAGCCGTGCCCACATCTCAAGCATTTCCTCTTAACCGCGAAGGCGGGCAGATTATGATCTTGGAGAACTTTGCACAACAACAATCCCAGCAGTTGACCCAACCACCACAAGGACGTCAGATGCGACCACCACCATTCCACGGGGGCTCAACGCCCGAAGATAATGAAACACGGATGGTCAGACAGCCAGAGACTCGACCAATCAGCCCGGAGCAGCTCATTGCCGAAGTAAAGGGGATATATGCCGGTTTAGTCATGGTTGAGGCAAAATGTGCTGAGGTGGATGCTAAGCAAGCTGCCGCAACTTTTGATGATGGCCAAACACAGCCTCGCCTGAATGATGAACAGTGGCAAGCATTGATTGCTTTACATCGCACCCTGCTGCATGAGCACCACGATTTCTTTTTGGCCTCGCAACACCCGAGCGCTAGCCCCCCCTTACGGCGATTGGCTGACAAGTATGCAATGCCGGCTCGGATGTGGAGGCATGGGATATACAGCTTTCTGGAATTGCTCCGACATAGATTACCATACTCATTGGAGCACATGTTGACCTTTATCTATCTTGCGTATAGCATGATGGCGTTATGTAAGTTCGGAGCCACGGTTTCTGCCCCACAGTTTATCTCAGTGGTATTGACTTTGTAGTGTACGAGACTGTCCCCGCTTTTGAGAATACATGGGTAGAGTGTCTCGGCGATCTCGGTCGTTATCGGATGGCTATTGAAGACGGTGATGTCCGGGATCGTGACGTTTGGGCTGGTGTTGCCCGATTCTGGTACTCGAAGGCCACGGATAAGACTCCATACGTTGGTCGTTTGTTTCATCATTTGGCTATCCTTGCCAGACCCAACGTTCTTCAGCAATTATTCTACTATTGCAAAAGCTTGGCCGTGGCGCAACCCTTCTACCCGGCTAGAGAAAGTATTTTAACTTTATTTGACCCGATATTCTCGCCCGAACACATTATCAAGAACCATCATGTCGATGCCGGGTTCATTAAACTTCATGGTATCAATTTCACCCATATCGATCTCGAAAAGTTTGATGATGCTCTATTCGATTACCTAGATAACTTGGACAAAAATATTGGCAAAATAGAGTCTGATTGGAAGGTAAGTTTCCTTCTAATACCGCAATATGAAGTGATTCGCTTAATTTTTTTCTGAAAGGTGTCGGGCGCTTATATCGCGATTTGCAATATAACTGGTCTTTCTCAATACGGCGCGAAAGAGAGTCTCCTACGTTTGGCCTTGCGCGAAGGAAAAAACCGACAGGTCCCGGAGGAGGATATGGAGGATGCGCCTCCGACAGCGGCTGACGAAAACACTGCAGAATTCGACGCACTTCTTCCGCCTCTACCCACTGGGGCCAGCTCTGAGCATGTGACGTCTATGCTTCAACCGGCTTCCAAACTGGAAGAAGACATCCGCTACCCACGCAGGGCGAATTCGAAGTCGTGTTCGCAAGCCACCGAAACCGGCGCAAAATCTCGGAATGGTACCGCCGAATCTTTGAGCTTCTCCAAGCGACTGGCATACGAGATCTTAGGTGTTGCCCTCCAACGAGTCGGCGATTCAAACGTGTTACCTCACGTCCACATATGGCTCGTATTTCTTGCTTATGTAGTCAAATCAGAGGCCGCAATCAGGTTATTGGAAAACGAGTTCCCGTGGGAACACTTGGTTTTTATGTTAAACAGTCTTGTTGGGCAATCCGATCAGGATAGGTTTGGGTGCAAGGAATTTCCGGTTCCGGAGAAAGGTCGTGGGAGGCCACTCCCAGAAGATTACATCTTGCGGGGCCTTGAATGGGCGCGGAAATACTTCCCGAATCGTTGGTTCGAAGATGCCCAAGTGGATGAAGAGGAACGTTCAGTGGAGGTGCCGTCTATGGAAAATGTCCGTATTGAGCGTATTTTGTGGCTTGCCACTCAAGTTGCCGCTGTAGGATACCCTTCCAGATCCTTTTCTTATTTTTATGGTTTACTGACCTGGCGCTTTTGAAGAATGGCGAATGCCTGGTCTACGTTGACAAGAAATTTCGGGTTCACCCGGCTTTGGTGACGAGAATCGAAGAGCACCAAAAGCTTGAGGCGACAATTACTCACGAGCAGGAATTGGGCGGGTCAAGAATGACACCAACCTCAGAGGATTCCGATGTAGACATGACCAGCGGGGAAAACGAGTCAGAGGATGACGATTATGTGCTGGTGGGCCAGTCTGAGGAAGTAAGACGTCTCAAACAGCAGCGGCGTGAGCTCGAGTCGCAATTAAAGTCCAGTGGCAAGGCTGCTGATCCAGCGGAGGAGCCTAGACAAGCAGTCGCAAAGGGGCCGGAATCACTGAAAGAGAACTTTTCGGTATGTTTTGCGCTGTATAGTTGAACAACAAACTCATAATTTGTCTAGGTCTTGGTTGTTGATACCAATCTTCTACTCAGCCAGCCTGAGGTCTTCAAACTCATGGTGTCGACATTCAATTGGTCTATTGTGATACCCAATACTGGTATGTCAATTGCTTGTATTGGTTATGTGGCCCACTAACCAATTGAGTAGTGATCACAGAGCTCCTTGGCTTGACGAACAGCACGGGCCCCGTTGGCGATGCCGCAAAGGCAGCCATGATTGCAATCAACGAGGCCCTCACTGATGAGAGAGATGTGAAAGTTGTCACCGCGAAGGGAAGCAATGTGACCAAGTCTGGCTTCTACAAGGAGCAACTTGACAAACCTGGAGACGATGAGCAGCGCAAAATTGATGACGTTATCATAGAGACTACGAAACTGCAGGGAGAGGCACGGAGGCAAGCAATCCCTGGGGATTACGGCGACTATGAGGCGGCTGTTTTAATTACCGAGGATCGTAATATGCGGGTTAAGGCCAACGCCCGAGGCGTCACCGCTATTTCGGCATCTGCCTTAAAAAAGGTCCTGTCCCCTCCGGCAGGTTCGGCCCGGCCGGAGCGCAGGTCACTTGGTGCTCCGGCAGTGGCTCCGGACTGGCCTGAAGATGAAGTGGCGTTTGTGGAACCTGGCGGGGACTTTGATCCCGTTTTGAACGTGCATCCTATAGGCACCGTAAGGAAAAAGAGGCAATTAAAACGAGGCAAGGCACAGGGCGCGGATGCGCCTAAAGTCACTTGAGGGTCTTTTCAGTGATTGGAATCCTCCCCCTCTCCCCCAAAAGAACATCATGATCTCCGCCCAATAATCGAGGCTCTTCGCTCCTGATGTCGGCTACTACATGGCTTGTTGATTCGATTGCTCTGGTTCGGTTTATGGGGGGATTGAACATTACTTGCGAGATCACGAAAGAGCTGATAATTTTACGGTTGTGATAGCGGTGTAGCTACTACTGCAAGTTTGATGGTTCGTTCGTTGGAGGGCATTGGTGAGTTAGTCTTCTCCGGCTTTATTATGGTGCGGAAACACCACCACATTCATTTTCCTTCATGGTTTCTTTCTACACTCTTTTTCATTTTTTCACTTTGTCTTGTAGGGCTGTACGGGGCTTAGAACGGACGCTGTAGATGTATTTTTAGCCTTTAAAAAATAATTTCATGCTCTCCTTTAGCCCCGTTCGACATCTTGGCCTATGGGCGGGGGTGACCTTAGTCCGGTGGCTCTCCAAGCATCATCATACGGATTAATACCGGCGAGTACCGCTTCTCGCGAGTCCTGCCAGCTGGATCTCTAACGGACTTAGGTGAGCCAACGTAGTAATAGCGACATAATGCCATAATTGCTTCGATAAAGTGGCAAGGGTGGGTGCATTTTAGGCCGCAGGGTTGGGCATATGTGGTCTGAAGAGTATGGTATATGATTTCTTTTACTGGTGGAACAGTACTCGTGAGTTGGTGATACAATTCCTTCTAACTCAGGTCATATAACCTGCGTCTAGTGACTGCCTTCGGGTCTGACGTTTGTGAACACGGCTGCTATTGCATACTACCGAAACATTGAGGCTCGCCCATTTTTTTGCCCATATCCAATAGTGGCTGTGTTCACGACGTCAGAATATTACGAGTAGCCAAACGGTGAGACCCACTGCACTAACCTGCTCTTTGGCCGTTGGGTACCAGGATATTCCTGCGACCCGCCAGTTTTAGCTGTGTTTGTCACCACACTCCTGAGGTGCTCATATCAGATGGCGGGTGGGATGTGAAGGACGGTACTTGAGGGATGATTGCATTTATGTTCATCTTTCTTTTTTACCCGTCGGTCAAGAACGGGGGGTTAGAAGTTTTGAGGCACGGATACTAACTGACTTAGCATTTGAACTAACCAGCTCGCGATTGTTGAGCCAAACCGACACAGAAACAAAAGCTTCTATCGTCCGGAGACCTATCGTGGGATGCAAAACCCCACATTTTCTAAACTGAGTTTGGGGGAGGGGAAGGGAAAGAAGAGCGAGGTGGTGGATACAAGGGCAGTCGCTGTCTTCATAAAATTGCAGCCTTGTCGACCCTTCTGCCCAACTGTCCATATATAGAGTAGGGCTGGCACGCTGATTGGTTGATATGCAACTTTCCAACCACTAACCGTATCATGTCCACGACCATTGATCAGGGCGATCGAAATCCGATGATAGATAATATTGTACTTGTAACTGGCACACGACCTATCGGAGACGCAGCAAAGTGGATTTCCCCCTTACAACAATTTGTATGATACCTGATACCAATACCATATACCCGTACACGACTGCCTGGCGGGAGAGAGCGAGGCTGAGAAAAAGAACTTGGTATGGTACTGGTAGGTGTCTGGTCCCTGAGGCTAACATTGTTACCCCCCCCCTTCCTTCATCTGACTGTACGGGTTTGGCTTACAAGTTATTACCATGCTGTGCTCGAGTATGTGTGTAGTACGGAGTGCGGTTATTGGTATGATCCTCTCCTAATTGATGCTGCTCATTATCTCTGGAATTATCCACCTCCGGTCCTCCACCACCTCTACCACCTCGAAAAGGATAATGCCCACAATTTTTCGGACGGGGTTAAAAGGGGAGTTGAATAGTGCTTGGTGTACCAGCATCTCTCTGATTTCACAGGCACTGGTAGAGAGGGAAATTTCGCCCGACATGTACGAGTACTGTACTTTACGGAATCCTTTACGGGAAGCCCGATCAGGATAATCCCCCAACGAATCCCACTCACACCCCCCCACCGTAAAACACCTCTCCTCCGGCGCAATACACTTGTACTACCAACATCCCCAGCTCGAGCGCCGTATGACTGCGCACGTTTTTTTCCTGTTTCGGCACGCGTTATTACTTTTTTGTGCACAAAGGGAGCACAACTCTGTTCGCAAATTGCTCGCACTGGCACTCGAGTACGTCGGTAGCGTAGGGAAAAGCAGGCGAAACCTCAACTAGCGGTTTGATGTAATTCTTTTTTTCTTCCTTTCTATTTGTCCTATCTCCATACACTAGTCTAACAATACAAAGATTTTGGGTGGATTGCAGAAAAACACAATTTGGTTAGGTACTTGTACCCTCAACCGCGCTCCTGTGGGAAATCACAAGATCGAGGATCGAGAGAACAAACAAGGGAGAGCACCGGGTGATCGCCACAAACAGTCCCACCCTTTGGAAACGAAGATGCGTTTGATGTCCTGATCCAATTTCCCGCGACCGGCTACTTGCCGCACACAAATCCTGCGAGCGCAATACAGGTACAGTACGAGTACTAGTACGGTACAAGTCATTTATCCGACCGGTGTCATGCATAGGATTCAAAATTATCGCTATCTTAATATCGCGAGGGGTGTGTGTCTTGGTTTTCTGAAATTTCTGCATTGATATCACACCTCACTGCGGCAGCACGTGACTCTTGCTGCAGAGGAGAGTAAGAAACAGCACTATTAGTCTCACGTAGAATCACTCGGTGGAAATGACTCACCCCAAGGAACTGTCTGTGTTCGTGGATGCCTATGATACTAGCTTTCGGAGATGGCCTACTGGTATTGCCGATAGCCCAACGTTGGCCGAGATCTCGGGCGCCGCTGGTTGAAATAAGCTTCTGGTTAGACGTTTTCGGATCAGTCCGGGTTGGGTTGTGACATTTCGTGCACCCCCAACCCCCACAACGAACATCATCGCACTTAAAGGTGCTGGTCCCCCCAGAACGCCAGAGGCAAAATATTGCCATTCTACGCTACTTGGGCATCAGTTATCGGATATCAGACCCGGCCATCGGGGGAGAATCCCTCGAGGTGGCGGAATTCGCCACCGGGTTGAATTTTCGCCACTGGCTTGATCGTTGTGCGTGTCGGCTCCTAATAGACGGCACGACACCAGCTAAACGACCGACGCGTGGACTTGCGTGTTTTCGGCAGACTACTGGTATCTTATCCGGACGTGTTACGCTGGAGATGAAGTGCGAAGTCGTTCGCCAGAATGTGGAACCGCGCTATTGGTTGAAGGGTTTGATACTGGAAGCCATCTCGGGGTTTGTACGCTGCGCACCCGGTGGGGCCAAGGAGTAGGAAGGTGGTATGGTGGTGGCTCAGGGAGTGGGTGGTGGTGGTAGCGACGGGGGGGGACGACGGGGGTGAATGGGTTATGGCTCTCTGGGGGCGGGGCTCGCTGGGACTGATATTGACTGTATGGTACAAATATGGATCACTTCGAAAGGGCGCTCGACCATGTGGAGAGGATAGTCAATCTCCTGAACGGGCTGGGTTACCACGATTACGAAGGGAGCCCATCACTGGAACCATAGATGCGATGCCGGGATTGGGTACGGGGGGTTATCTAGGCAGGTTTTTAGTCGGCACTTGAGGTGGCCTAGTCGTGAAAAGCTGGATAAACACATGCTTACTGGTTGCTCAGGAAATTATAGGAAATTGTCCAAGAGGCGACAAAGCAAGGGGGTTGGCTGGTGACTCGAGTTGGCACTGGACGAGAAGAGTCACACAGCGCCATTATGGCCTTCAGGGGCGAGGTCAATTTGGGGTGTATGGTGGAAACATGCGAGAATTGTCGTCAATGCTCATGTCTGACTGGGTTTGGCTGATCGCATGCTCTTACTTGTACTAGGGCTTATGACTGGCCGTGGTGGGATTGCCAGGAAATGGCCGGGGGGAAAGATGTGGGTGGAGTTCCTCTGCTATTGGACATTGCTTTACAAAGATACGGGGATTGGGAGCGTGATGCATGGGCTGTTTGGTAGGGCCTCTTCCTCGGATGGGATATGATTCCCTCTCTGGTTCGGGTGGTTTGGGGATGTCGATCCGTTATTTGCGATATTTTGCATACTGTTCAGCTTGTTGGGAGAAAGTTGGCTACTTTCAGAACGTTCTCTTCGGCGAAAGACAAGGGACGGCTATCTTGTTTTTCTCAACTGGATTAATACTCTTTCGATCCCTGTCCGATTGATCAATCTCCCCGGTTTGCATGTCAAACGCCATCAACGGACCGGAATCCACCAGTTTCTCTGAAAGGGCGGAGAAAAGCTAGGTATTCTTTGGGGGGACATTGCGACCGTGGGTGCCGGATTTCATAGAGTCAGGACGCTTCAATTTCATGGAGGCGGGAGCTCCGCAGCCCGGCCCGCGTTTCTGTATGGTTAAGCCTGTGGGAAGCTAGTTCTTTCGACACATTTCGACGGAAAACGGGATGTCTTGAGAATTCCTTCCGACGGACCATCAGTGAAGTTTGCGACGCGCTTTGGTTCTGGGGCGATAAGAGAACCTTGCATGTTCAAGGCTACCACTTACCTCGATAGGAGCAACAAAGGCCAGAAACACACGCAGAAAACGGGAGAATATGGCTCTTAGAGCACTGATTCTACTTCCAGATTGTTAGTTCGATTTCAAAACAATGGAAGATTATGACACCTATTCCCTCTTTCTTTGGACCTCGGATACTTACTAGGAATTCGAACACCGACTCTTTTAAGTTGATGAACTCAGCTTTCTCTCTACTATTGATACTGGGCTCAATCCCTCAACAACTCGTCTAAACTAGAGCACACGAACATGGCGCAGGAAGCGTAAGTTTTAGGAAGGAACAAAAAATGCTAAAATTATGGTCCTCTGGTGACCGGGAGCGCCATCCTCATGGTTTAATTTTGGAGCCTGTCTAGCGAGCTTCGTGAAATCCCGGGCCTCAAAGAGAAGTCGGATTATCGTGATTCCTTAATGACCAATTTTGCACTCTGGGTGGCCCTCCACGGTTACCCCGATCCCTGATCCACTGTGGTCCCCTGACCGAACCTGGTGGTTGCCTGGGCTCGTCTCCGAGTCGAAATACCTTGATTTGTGCCTTTGCCTGGACTGAAAGTATTGTGTGAGAGGCCCCCCGAAGGTATCGCTCGTATATGTTAATATTAATGGTTCATCCCGCAGTCGAACGGAACGGGCTTGGGTTTCAATTAACATGTACTTGTATCTGGCAGTAATCATCTGAAAATGCGGCCATTGTTAACGACCACCCATCCAACGAAAAAAATTCTGTCTCATTTTCGGATACTTTGTGCCAGATGCAAGTACGGAGTAAGCATGGACGACGAGACGAACAACACAACGGGGCGACAATTTCATAATATATCCTTTGATAAAGCTGTCAGAACGTACCGTATAATACAGCCTTTGGTCTACTCGCCTAATCCGTTTCCAGCCACACCCAACACGCCAAGTCTAAAAAATAGCAATACTGTCTACCATGCACCTCCCACCAAAGAAGCCAGAAATTAATTACCTTAAATCGCAGGCAAGAAGCGTATCAGCGGAGGCAGAGTTTTCAATATGGTTGTATAGCTGCATTTTCACAAGGTATCACTCACTCGTTTTGCAGTTCCACCCTCATGTTGAGTGCTGATCGCCGATCAGCCAGAAGTAGTTGGCGCTAAGACTGGGGCAGCCTCGAAGATTAAGCCCTGGAAACTTGCTGGAGGAATGTCTAGCCGAATGCCTGGTCCGGGGTGGTAAATGGAATACCTCAGGGCTGTCAACTTGGTCGTGTAGGCTCGCAGGCCAGTGTGCATGGCAGTCACGATCGGGGAGCAACACACCAACACCAGAATTCTGTTTTCAAAGGGGCGGACCCATTGCGCTGGCAGCAGGCGTTCAGCAAACTGGGCACAGGTACGCCTGTCAAATCACCAAGTCCGCGACGTCGGGAAGTTCCAATACTTGAACCTAGTGTGCGCAGCCCTCCCGTTCCCAAGGCCGGATTGAAGCTAAGGGCAGCCAAGCCAACGAGAGGGCCCGGGCCCCTCCAAATCGCCACACTTTAACGGACAGCTAAAGGCAATTCAGCGGGCCCCCGAACGTGGGTCCGACCAATCCCAAAAGATACAGCAGTGCGTGTTCAGTCGAGTTTTTGGAGGCTGGCTTACTGGTTATTGGAAGTGTGCGCAGTGTGATCAAGGATATCGCGAGGTGTTGTAGCGGTGTCACTGGTCATGTAGTGGACGTACTGGGTAATCGAGGAGTGTTGAACGAGGCTGGCCTGTCGGAGGGAGCTCCGCGTGGCTGGTGAGTGCGCTGGCTGGTCTGCGTGCAGAGGACAAGGGGGTATCCAAAAACAAGGGCCTCAAATCCACATGGGCACTCCGATACTCGTACACAGGGGATTTTTGCTATATATTTTTGGGAACGGGAATACCTGTTTCCGAGCACTTTTCACCTGCAACGAGCATTCAACGCCTTTCAGTCTCCATGGGCCCAAGTTTGGTTGGATCCTATAGTGCCCAGAAGCCAAAAATTATCGGTATGATACTGTTATTGTACCACAAGTGAATCACTTATCCCCCCAACCCTAGCAGTCTCTTGACCGACGTGCTAGAGGCGCTAAAACAGAGAACGTAATAACTTACCGGCAAAAAACAATAGAAGTATTTATTTTTAACAATTAAATTGTATGATTTTTCTCGTGTCACGTGTACTATTCGGATACCGTACGGTACTGTGCCAGGACTCAGGGCGAACATCCCCCAATGAATGAGAAAACCTACACAATACCAGCGAATCCCGGTCCCTCCCTGTAGAATACCAGCCAATGTTTGCGAATGCCAGCAAAATGCAAGGTTTCACCCTTGGCCAAGAAAATAACTCTTCAACTTCTAAGCAGGAGAACACAATCATAAAAAATTATAAAAAATCGAAATATTTTTTTGGAAAATAAACCAGCATTGAATGTATTTATTAGAATTTTTCCTTTTCTGGGGGGAAGTCTTAGAGACATATTGGGAAGAGAAAATGTGATTTGTGAGAAAAAAAGCGATTTCTTGAGGTGCTAAACTAGGTAATAAGCATGGGCTTTCAACACAGCTTGGCACAAGCATTATCCTAAAAAGGAGATTTATTGCCAAATTTTAAGCGACACTGGCTGTCTACCTAATTATTTTTTATCTTTTAAAAAAAACTCTAAAATTTAGAAGTGTTTTTCTGGTTTACTCTCTTGAATTTTTGGAGGTTTTTTTCTTTTTCGAATTTACACGAGTGATTGTGAAAGTAGGATTTGCCACAATAGATTTATTACTCTATTGGGGTGTTAAAAAGGTTAGCTGGTATTCTACAGTGACGCTGGTATTGAAAAGGTTTTCCCCTCTCGTACCTTGTTTTTACTTAGCGCTTCTGTATTTGCTAGCTGGAGACAGTCAGTATAGTGAACGCTTTTTGCCATTTTTTATTTTATTTTATTCGCCAGAAGGAGTATGATATTCATGGTGGCGATGACATCTCTGATCAACCCCCCCCACCGGGTTGTTACATCACGGTATGATACTGGTAAACTCTTATCAAATTCCGTCAGCAACCAAGTTCGAAAAACCGGAACGATAACGATTGGACCTCGGGCTACTACGATACTATCATACATATTATATGATAGGGCGATAGAGTGCCTCTCTCCTTAGTAAGGCTGATCGTATTTTATCTTGTTTATTTGCCTCACCTAAGGGTTAAAAAAGTTGATCCAATATATATATAACCGTATCCCTAATGAACTAGTAGGGTACAGTACGGGTTTGAGTGGGGGGAAATTTTTTCGCTGTGCAACTCTTATGATCACCCCCCCCCCCCTACTCGATTTCAAGGTGGGGAGGAGGAAATTCTAGATATGATAATATCTTACTCGTAGTGGTAGCGCTCCCGGTCATGGTCACAAAGTATGATAAGAACTTGATTTCTCCACTGGGCGAGG